CTTCTTGTGTGTCAGTCATCCACAGCAATCAGAAGTGCTGTGCTCCACATGTACCAGCCATTGTTAACCAATCAGAAGTGGCCCATGATAGAAGGTGATAGACAGATTGATCCAATCACCTGCCAAGTATTTTTGAAAGTGCCTGCCCTTTCCAAATGGCTTCCAATGGAGCTTTCCTAGATGGTTTGGTGAAACAAACCATCTGAGTCAGGTTAGTAATGCTCCATCACATGTTTCTATTACAGGGTGAATCTTAAACTGAAGCTTGACTTTAAAGCAACACAACGGAAGATTCATGTAAGTTTAGTTCTTTCACTCGTAGCTCGGGCTGCGGGGGTGCTAGAGACGGGAGCACGTTGATACGACCTTCCTAGCCGGAGATATGGCCGCATTTTACAATAAACTTCCGTTGGGTCGTTATCGCAAAAATATCGCAAATCCAATCGCAATATCTGTCAGAAAAATCGCAATTCGATTACTTCCCCAAATCGTGCAGCCCTACAACCTACCTGGTAATAAACCTGTCTCTGATTCTGAACAAATCTGTCGTTTGTGCCTTAGCGTTTAGATGGTGCTTCATACACACCTGATGATGTGGCACGGCAGAGTGCGCACAGAGTGCAGGACGCTGTCTGCGGCTCCTCTCAAGCGGGGCTCCGGCTTCAGCAGAGAGACGCCAGCCTTGGATAGTTTTCTGTCAAACACAGTCAAAGGCTTACAATGAAGCAGATGAGCCTCAAGGCATTTCACATTCAGTGTATGAATGTATCCAATGTACTTCACAGTGCTTTGAGGGCATGTATACACATAATGAAATGACCCTGATAAGACTGGAATTGAAGCAGACACATGGACGTTTGAAATTGCAAATAAATAGAAGAGCAGAAACGTACGGATTGCTGACTTCTGACCAGCTGAAATCCGAAGGCCAGTAAGAGAAGTCAAAGTCGTAGCATCTCAGTTTTTTCTACACGGAAAGCACAAAAGATGTCTCTTGAGTTCAGTACAGCTCTGAGGTATTAATATGGGTAATAACATAAGTAAGAAATGATCATTGTGTCTCATTATTCCCCAAAACTTGGATATACTAATTCCAACAGCAAATCCTGATGAGGTTCCAAAACCTCACCTTGTTTGCTGGCGTGTGATCATCCTTGTTTTCGTCAAGAATGGAGATGAACTGAAGATACTCAGAGTTTTTCCATCTCCCCAACCCTAAGGGAGAAAAGGATAGAAGGAGGGAAGGCGGCACAAACAGAGACAGGCTTAGTAAACATGTAACAAACAACATTTTGCTGCAAAGCCTCAAGGGTCCGTCTGGTATGCTATGAGAGTGTAAACCTTGTGCAACGGACTCATTGGTGAAGAAATCTTTTTGGCATGTGAAATATAGAGCATATTTAGTCATATCTAAAAGATGATTGAATTGTGTTAGTCATTGCCTGGCTGCCAGAGGGAATCCTTACCTCTAAGACAGGCCACTCCGAGGAGGCATACCAGCACTGTTCCCACATACTGACTCACTGGAACCAGCTTACTGCTGCAGATGTAGCCTAAAAATACAAAGAGCAACAGTGACACAGACATACACACACCCCCCCCCCTCACCCCTTCTTTCCCTGCTAAACCTGAGCCTCATTAACGGGCACCGATCCAAAGATTCACAGTCTGACAACTACCCTACAACCATATGCATAAATCAATATCAGGAGCTCAATTATAGGAGCACACAACCTCAAGCACTTCATTTCTATTGCGGCAAAGTCTTTTTAGATGATTCAGTTGATTAACTTTATATTAATCCCACTTGTAGGAGAACAGAGAACATCCCCCCAGTGGCAGTTTTTCTTCCTTAATGGAAGGAGAAATGTCATCCATAGAAAAAAGATTTTTCTTTGACATTTGTCACCGCCAAACCTTCTGAGAAAGACTTCTTCTGAAACATGTCAAGATTACATTTGGATACAAACCCTTTCTAAGGGCATGAGAAATGGGAAATAAATACAATTTGCAATTTCTCCATAGCTGCATGAACATGCAAGAAGGACTGGGCGATAAGCTACAAATTATTATCATGACACTAACCTGGATATGTTTTGATATGCCTTATACCAGTGTTTTTCAAAGTGGGGGCCCCGACCCCCCGGGGGGCCGCCAGGGAGCACCAGGGGGGTCACGCAAAATTTGAGGGAAAGGGGATTTTTTTTTTTTTTTAAAGTTACATTTTTTGATTTTATTAATAACTGCAATCTATGTGTCCTTTGATGCCAATCTTTTAATATTTTTTACTTATCCATATATATATTTTTTAAATCACACGACCGCCCTTCAAGCCAATCAGATCGAGCTGCCGCAACTGAGAGTGAAACTGAGTATCTGCTCAGCTTTTGGAGAAAGTGAGAGCTAGTGAATATTTCGCTCTGCAGCTGGATGAGAGCACGGATGTAGCAAATATTGATGTTTATATATATGAATATAAATATGTTTATTGTTAATATTACTGTTGAATATTATATATAATATTATTAAGGCATAAGTAGCTTTCAAAAATGCAAAAAATATATGTTAATTGTTCATATTACTGTTCAAAATTATATAATATTATAAAGACAGAAATCACTTTAAAAATATGTTTACTGTTGATATTACTGTTTAATATTGTGTTAAGAGTGTTTATAACAGAACACACAATGAATGTAATGAATTACAAACAAAAGATAAATACAAAAAATGTTTAGAAGAATAACTGATTATTAATTATTAATACAAATATATATTAAGAAAATGTATTAAGCTGTATTATTAATTTGTCATATTTTCCATCATAATACTCATCATTTAAAAAAAAATTGCAACAGGGGGGTCCCCGCCAGAGGATAATGCTATATGGGGGTCCTTGGCATGGCAAAGTTTGGGA